AAGCACAAAGGATCTCTTCAAAGAAAATTACAAAACATAACTACAAGAAACAAAAAGAGACCTGGAGAAGTGGAAGAATATCCCTTGCTCATGGATAGGAAGACTCAATATTGTGAAAATGGCAATACTAGCAAAGGCAATTTACACGTTCAATGCAATCCCAATACAATTTCCAATCCCATTCTTCAATGAGATTGAAAAGACAATCTCCAACTTCATTTGGAATGAAAAGAAGCCCCAAATAAGCAAAGCACTCCTTAAAAATAGAAAAAAGGTAGGAGGCATCTCACTCCCTGATTTTAAATCCTACTACACTGCCATGGTAGTTAAGACAGCACGGTACTGGTACAATGGTAAACATATAGAACCCGGAAATCAGCCCATCTATTTATGGTCAACTGATTTTTGACAAGGAGATGAAATCAGTTAGGTGGGGAAATGACAGCCTTTTTAACAAATGGTGTTGGCAAAATTGGAAAACTATCTGCAGAAGAATTAAGCAAGATCCACACCTCACTCCACATACAAAAACCAACTCAAGGTGGATCATGGACCTAGGACTAAAATGAAGGACTAAAAACTTCATTCAAGAAAAGCTTAGAAGAACTTTAGTAGTCCTAATCCACAACATAAACAGTCTTCCAAGTATCCTGAATAATTTACAACCAGGAGAAGATAAAATAGATGAATGGGACCTTCTAAGAATCAAATTCCTATGCACATCCAAAAACTTCTTTACCAGGGTAAAAAGGGAAGCCACAGATTGGGAAAAAGTGTTTAGTAATGGCATGTCAGATAAGGGACTTATATCTAGAATTTATAAAATACTTGAGCACCACAAGAAGATAAAGGTAAATGATCCAATAGAAAAATGGGCACAGGATATGAACTTCACCAAAGAAGACAATCAGAGGGCCTACAAGCACATGAAGAAATGTTCAAAATCCCTAACTCTAAGAGAGATACAAATCAAAACAACTATGAGATATCATCTCACCCCAGTCAGAATAGCAAAATTTAACAGAACAGCAAGCAACAAATGCTAGTGAGGTTGTGGAGAGAATGCAGCCCTTATTCACTGTTGGTGGGAGTGTAAAATGGTGCAACCATTGTGGAAAGTGGTGTGGCACTTTCTCAAAAAGTTGCAAATAAAGATACCATTTGACCCAGCAATTCCACTACTGGGAATATACCCCAAAGAGACCATAACTGACATCCAAACAGATATATGCACACCCATGTTTATCGTGGCTTTGTTCACAATAGCAAGGAGTTGGAAACAACCCAAGTGCCCATCAACAAACAAATGGACAGAGAAGCTGTGGTATATTCACACAATGGAACACTATGCTGCATTGAAAAACAAGGAATTCATGCAATATTATTCAAAATGGGCGACCCTGGAGGACATTATGCTGACTGAGGTATCTCAGTCACAAAGGGACAAATGCTATATTGTGCCACTGTTGTAGAATGAGGCTGACATCAGGGTGGGGGTAAGATTGAGAAAAACTGGATAAATTATGTTTACTGCATTGAAGCTGATGAGGGAGAGACTAGTTTAAAAGTAACATATTTTAGGGCATTATGATTGTCATAAGAATCTGGAATGAGGGTTGCAGAGTGGATTATACTCGGGGTGAGGGTGTGTGTGTGTGGGGGGGGATTGTATACCAATGAAGGAGTTTTTCTTTTGCTTTTCAAGGAGAAGAGCGAACTGGTGGTGGAGGTGGGGTGGGCGGGGAGAAAAGTGCAACAATGAATGAATGGAAATCCAAAATCTCTGTAGATGTTCATTGAAATTAATTAAAAAAATGCTGCCCCAATATGACACCACTAAGATCCTAAATGGGGTAAAAACAAGTTCTGCTTTATTAACGACTACAAATTGTGCTTTTCCTGTAAAAGCAACACTAGAAAACAATGAAAAACCATCTTATGCAATCTGGGAGTTTGCCCTCCATGCTAGTAGACAATAGGGAAGTGTGAACTTACTCAGGTGTCACGCTAAAGAAAGACCTGGGCCATACATTCAGGGAAAGATTAATTTCCTCCAGACACTAGGGGTGCAGTTCCACTTGTGTAACGCCTCGGGCCACAACAACCTGCAATCACAGCTATCACTCTGCTTTCCTTCTTAGTAGTCTCAAACAAGGAAGGAATGTGTCTGTTTAGGGTAATGGCCTCAGTTCTACAGAGGGTGAAGTCTTCTCTCAAAGAGAGGTGAGAATGGATCCCAACCTTAGTGGCAGATTCAGCCTGAAAAGCACTTTGCCCAAGAAGCCCTCTGAGCTTGTGGTTCGGGGTGGCATGCCCTAGAGCAGGAGGGACGGAGAATTAAATTCTTTCCCTGTGTGTGGGACACACAGCTCGTTGGACAAGAACCCAGAATCCAACAGGTGTCGGGGGTGGGGTGGGATCATGAGTGGGCACTAAAGAATGACGAACTTCCAACCAATAGGCTCCATCCTGGCAGCGCAGGGAGGAGCCCCATGAACCGTTAGCAGCCCCCCCCCCCAGCTGCCACCGGATGTGACGCAGGCAAACTTTTATCCCCCAGTATATCCGACGGCGGGAAGACGTGCGTAGCTCCCAGAATCAGACGAGGACGCTCAATTCCAAGTCGGCTCAGCGCACTGGTGAGGACCCTAAATGTGGACCTGGGGGACCACCCACTCCAAACAGTGTAGGCTCAGCATGGGACCTACCCCACCGACAGGCTCAGATCTACTTGATAGATGTCAGCCTGTAAAGTCGGGGGCGAGGAGTACTATGGGGTTGGAGCCCATGAAAGTGGAGGGTGAGGAGACCTGGGCCCTTATTAAGAGAGCGGCTGACAACTGTCATAGCCAACGTGGAGTCCTTATTACCTAAGTTGACCCCTCAATGTGATGCTCAGCTCTCAGCTCTGAAAGCATCCAGAGAGGGACACCCCAATATGCAGCACCCTTATGTTCCTTCACCCCCAGGGAGGTCTCAACATGAGGCCTGAACCGCCATTACTTCATTAAGGGGGGTCGAGTCAGGAGAGGGGGAATGGAAAGTCTTAGTGCAGGATCTCAGGCAAAAGCTGAGGTGAGGAATGCTACCCCAGGGGTTGCGTATACCACCCACTCCAAACAGTGTAGGCTCACCATGGTCCCGGTCCCGCTGCCAGGCTTAGATCCACCTGAACAATGTCAACCTGCAAAGTCTTCGGAGATGAAAAATCATGGGGGGATGGTGGGGAGACCTGGACCCTTATTAGAGAGCAGGTGACGACCTTCAGAGCCAATGCGGTGTCCTCTTTATCTAAGGTGACCCCCAATGCGATGCTCTGCTCCCAGCTCTGAGTGCATTCAGAGAGGGACACCCTGATATGCAGCACTATCACATTCCTACACCCCCAGGGAGGTCTCAACATGACGCCTGAACCTCCATTGCTTCATTCAGAGGGATCGAGCCAGGAGAGGGGGAATGGGAAGACTTAGCACAGAGTCCAAGTCAGAAGGGGGTGAGGACTGGAAGGAATGCACATTATACTGGGAACTGTGGGGGTCTCGAAAATCTTCTCCCCTATTACCATAATGTCCAAAAACCTCTATGACTGTTTAGTGATAGGAAAGAAGTCCTGAAAACATGGCGCTGTAGCTTCCAAAAGGGATATTGCAGAGGGCGTGGTCTGGGGTGGAGGGGCGTGGCTTCAGGGCTGCTAACCCTAGGGTCCCATAATAGCACAGAGAAAGGGAGAAAAATGCTTGAGATGGTGGAGACCACTCAATGCAAAATGGGGAGGGGGGACTGGGCTGTGCCGCCCCTGGCCGTGGCCCTGATATCATAGGACTGAAGGAGAAAGATGGGAAATCTGGTCCCTAGGAATTAACTGCCTAGGAAAACTTGCTAGACGGTCAGCTACAGGTTGATCCCAAATTGTGTTGGTGTGAACTGTGCGGTCTCGAAAAAGTTGACCCCTGCTTCCACAATCTTCACAACCCACCCTGACTGCTTGCTGATACCAACAATCTTCACAAAATATGTCTACTCTGACTCCAACAGGGAATTCTCAGGAGGCAGATTCCTGGGTCGAAGGGGTTTGGCCTCCAGTCGGCTAAATTGGAGGTGACACAGCAGAGGGAGGAGACATAATCCCTAACAAGAATCAAGGTTAGTGGAAGGGAGTAGAGAGCATTATTTTAAGTGAACTTATTCAGTCCCATAAGGACAAATATGGTATAAGACCCTTATTGTAGAAGGTGTATGAGGATCCATAGGGTGGAAAGTGAAAGCAGAGGGGTGAGATGAGGAGGGGGGTAAGGTGAGTGTGTAGGTGGTGGTTAATCATAGGGTTACACAATTTCATGGGCAAAGAAAATAGGAAAGATCTAGTGTGAATACAATGATATATGAACTTTCTGAGTAAACCAGTATAAAATAAACATTTTAATTTTAAAGAGAAAAGAGAATAAAGCTTGTAACATGGATCCTGATGAAATGGTTCTTCCCTGAAAAAGGGGGACACATAAAGGTCCACACATTTGGGGCAGGTGAAGTTTGATGACAGAGCCAGGAGGGTGCACATTTTTTCAGTGCCTGTCAGGGAGATGACCAACATGGTCAAAGGGGGCAGGAAAGGTGAAGACTGGGGGAGAGGACTGAGTCCTCCATGGTAAAAACAAGCACCACTGTGCTGTTATTGTTGAGCCACCCATGTCAGCAGTGGGGATGGAGCTGCTCCTTCAGTGCCTATTTGTGGGACGCAGAAGCCTTAGAGGTGTCAAGTTCACAAGAGCAGAGGGGATGAGGTTCCAGGTCCTGAAGGAAGAAGGCTCAGCACTAAGCCAGCACAGTGGTTTACATCTTATGGGCCCCTGTTGGTCACATGAAACCCCAAGGAGAGCTGGCATGGTACTACTTACCTCTTACTGGCTCCACAGGGTCCTGAGGAGAAGGAGATCCTCTCTCCAGGCTTCAGCGGTCTGCATCACCCATTCGTCTCCTATACTTGACTACCAGGGATCATCATGCCTCGTGGTCACAAGAGTAAGAATCGTGCCCGTTGGAAGCGCCGCCAGACTCAAGGGGAAACCCAGGCCCCTGAAGAGGCGAAGGCCGCTGCTGCAGAAGAGGAAGCCCAATCTCCCTCATCTTCACCTCTTTATGAGGCTTCTCCTACTAGTGGGGCATCTCCTCCTTGTGAGGATTCTCCACCTCCTGATGATTCTCCACCTCCTGAGGATTCTCCACCTCGTGAGGCTTCTCCACCTCGTGAGCATCTTCCTCCTCGTGGGGCTTCTCAGCGTCTCCCTGGTCTTTCCACTGAGCTGAGTTCTCAGAGAGTCCCACCCATCCCCAAAATTGATATGTGTGTCTACTGCACAGAGGATGATGAGGGTGACCTGGGCGAATATGGTGGGGGTGCTAGTTCCTCAGGGGGTGCCGCAGGGGGCCCCCAGAAAGATCCTCTCATCAAAAGGATGAGACTCCTGGTGCAGTTCCTGCTGCACAAGTATAAGATAAAAGAGCCATTGATCACCAAGAAAGAAATCATGAAGATCATCAACAAGAAGTACCAGGAGCGCTTTCCTGAGGTCCTGCAGAGAGTCTCTGAGCACATGGAGCTGGTCTTCGGCCTTGAGCTCAAGGAAGTCGACCCCAGCGTTCCAACCTACCTCCTGGCCAATGTGCTGGAGATCAGCCGGGAAGATTATCTCTTTGATAGTAAGACGTTCCCCAAGTATGGGATGCTGCTGCCTATCCTGGGCATGATCTACATGAATGGAAACCAGGTCAGCGAGGAGCAGCTCTGGCAATTCCTCAATCGAGTTGGGGTCTCTGATGGGAAGAGGCACTTCCTCTTTGGAGACCCCAGGAAGCTCATCACCAAAGATATGGTGCAGGAAAAGTACCTGGAGTACCGCCAGGTACCCGGCAGCGATCCTCCAACTTTCCAGTTCCTGTGGGGTCCCAAGGCCTATACCGAAGCCAGCAAGGCCAAGGTCCTAGAGTTCATCCTCAAGATGCAGAAAATGGATCACAAGGCTTTCAAAATCCTGTTTGTGGAAACTTGGAGAGAGGAAGAAGAGAAAGCAGCAACCATGAAGTGGTCCGCGGGTAATTTTAATGCCAGGGCCAGGGCCCGATTCAGGGCAAAGTCCAGCAAGGCCTCCCGTGAAAAGAGAGAGTAAAGGTTTTCCACATTGTTACCGAAAATGGCTATAAGTTGTCTAAGTAGAGGAGGCGAGGTGGGGCTCCTATGGGCACATATATGTCTTCTATGTGTCTATTATGCATGAGTTACGTAAAGATTTGGCACGTTTTTAAAGTTGTGCCTTTAAGTTGAATGTGTCTTTGTAACCAGAGTCAAAATGTACCCTTATACCCTTATTTCCATTGTGCAGAATTCAATGTTAACATGGTGTGTTTGGTTAAACAAATGGAAAAGTGACATGGGAACAGGGGCAACTCCTTGGACATGTCAGAGAAATCAATGGCCAAGAAATATGTACAAAAAGCAGTTGGGGAGAGAGTATAGAACAAGTAGTTGATTCTTAGTTTCTAACATTCTTATTGATAAAAAAATAAGTTTTATACCTGAATGTCTTTGTGTTTTTCTTGATGTGTAGAATAAAAAAAAAAATCATTGATTTAGATCTCTTGTTCACTTGGCTCTTGTTTGCCCAAACAGGAACTGAGCACCTCCTCTTTGCAAGCTTGCAGGGACCTTTATGCAATTTTTTCCCCCTTCTCAGCGACCAGCCTACCTTTTAGTGCATAAAACCTGCTGTGACTATGTAAGAGGCTGAAATGGTGTCTGAGACCTCAGGCACTAATGAAAGGGGTTGAGGCCTTCAGTCTTCCCTGTAGTGGAAATCAAATGTTGAGGTCATGAATTTTAAGTTTTAGGCATCAGGGGTGGCAAAAGGGAGGAAGCTGGAGTTGGTTGGGGGTGACTCAGGAATTGGAATTTACATGGGATGATGGGAGTTGGGAAGGGTCAGAAGTTGGGGATGTTCTTGATGTTGAGATGTAGTCTACACTGAATCTTGTAGTCTTTCATCCTGCAGTAAGGGCTTCAAGTCTATCTCACATTTTCCCAGCAATGTTGGGCCATCTGCATATTGCAGGTTGTTAAAAAGTCTTGCTCAAATCCTGATTTCACATTCTTCTTTTTAATTAGGAACTGTAATTATTTTATTATATATTAACCAATATTAAATGTCAGAGATACCTCCTATTTTTATCCCATAATGTTTCCAATGCCATACTATTTTTTATAAGCAGATTGTTTTCCTTCTCTTCCTGACATAGCAATTTTACGTAAAAATAATTGGAGATATACATTTAACTGATTGGTGTGCTCATTCAGGTAAACTTGACTGGCAAATATTTGTCACTCAAAAAAAAATATTTGTCACTCTTGCTGTGGTCCTCAAAGTCTTCTGGACAGTGATGGGGAAAGGTAATAGACAGAAATAGGAGATATCTGTGACATTTAAGAGTTTGTTTATAATCTCATTACTTCTACTACATTTTTTTTAAAATATACTTTCTTTTATTGTGATCTTAAAAAAAACTTACTGAAAAGTTAGATTTTCATTCATTCATTGTTGTACATTTTTCTCCCTTCCCTTCCCAGTTCACCTTTTTCCCCATCCCCAATTCATTATTATACATTTTCCTCCCTTCCCCAGGCTCTCTATGCCTCCAGTTTGCTTTGCAATGCACTTCTTATTCTGGATTGTTGTCATACATATAATGCCTAATTATATATTCCTTTTTTAAATTTAGTTTGTTGATTTTTCATTTCAATGAACATCTACAGAGATTTTGGAATTCCATTCATTTATTGTTGCTCCCTTATCCCCGCACAAACCCCTCCCACCTCCCCCCCCCTTTGCTCCTCTCCTTGAAAAGCAAAAGAAAAACTCCCTCATTGGTACACAATCCCCCCCACTACATTTAAAACAGTCCTCAAGTATAACAAAAGGAAATATAATTGTTACAGCAAAGGAATAGATTAAAGCCTATAAACAAAGTAGAGTCAGAAAAGTTATCCAATTTGTGGTGTAATTTATATTCTACAAATAGGCTACAATCCAAACATGGGGAGTTAAACACTACAACTGTCAAGACTGGTAGTTCAAATCCATATAGAAAAGGTCTGGTAACCTGCTTCTATAAAGCTTACAGTGTAGAAAAATCTAATGAAACTTTTAACAAAATTTCCTTGTATGTGACAAATTCACACAGATTAGGTTCTCATTTAGAAATTTCTATACACATTGCTACAAAGTGTAGGCTACATTCCCTGCATTGATGATAGATAGTCTTAATATTTTTGCTCTGGTTCTTCCATTTCTGTGAATCTACCTCCTGTGCCCTCCACTCCCTTAGGGAATAGGGTGATAGTTTGGTCTCATAGAGTTCTTTTGTTTGGTTATATATTCTCCCCCACCCCCTTTTGTGATACTGTTATTGTTTTAAAACCTTTCTTATATTAATTGTTATTTTAAAAACGGTTATAGTAAATCTCATTCCTTCATATTTTCCTTTCACCACTGTTCAGTTTCTTTTTAAAAAAGCATTCATTTTTATATATTTGTGTTTTCAAAGAATCAAGGAACTTCAAGGTAGTAGTGTTTATTTCATGAATCATTCTGTCATTTAGCTGAAAGCTGATCTTCCAGAGTTGTTTTAGTTGAAATTTTAAAAAGCTTCTTAGGATATTACTTTTCATGATGCATCTAGTCTATATTGGCCTAATAAATCTGGTTTACAATGTTAGAGAAGACGATTGAATATTCCATGGACTGCTAGGAGAACAAACAAGTTCATCCCTAAGAGGGTGAAACCAGGCTGCTTATTAGAGGCAAGGATTCTGAAACTTCATCTGATACACTTTGGGCATGTTACAAGGAGGGACCAGTCCTTGGAGAGGGATGTTATGCTTGGGTGGGTGGAGGGACAACACGAAAGAGAAAGACCCCCAATAAATTAGACTGATTCAGTGACTGGGTAATGGAAGTAGGGAAGTCAGACACAATAAGGTTGGCACAGGACAGAACAGAGTTTAGAGCTGTTGTACAGAGGGTCGCTATGAGTCATAAGCAGCTCTATGGCACAAAACAACAACCACAATTTAAATTTTGTTCTGCAACATTTTTCTACTCTTTCCTGGTCTTTGCCTGGTCAGAACAGTGACGAGAGGTACCATCTAAATCTTCTGGATTCAGGATAAATGAGGTCATAGTTATTCCTAGAAACCACTTCTTTATTTGAGTCTTTACTTTCTTTTCTTCTCTGCTGTTGCAGACAACTAGTTCTATCTCAGATGGCTTACAGCTCTTTAGGTCTGTAACATTTAGGTTAGCCAGGAGTTTGCAAGGAGTTTGAGGTGTGTTATTTTTCATGTTCTTGTGGTTGTTGGATTGCTGGGGATTCTTTTTTCTTTTCATTTTTCTTGCATAGGAAAAGGGAAGAAATGTAGAGGGACATGAAAGAGAAAGGAACAGAAAAAGAGTGAAAAGAAAAGTGGGGAAAAGAGAATTATTTATTTTTACACCATGTAATGAACCATATCGATTGTCCTGAGGTTGATCCTGACTCATTCATACTCTAGAAACTCCATTTTGTTGTTGTTGTTAGATACTGTCAAGGGTCCCAGTGACCCTGTGGACAACAGATCTTGCCCTTGAACATTGTTGTATCCTGCTCCATCACCACCATGCTCAAACCCATTGTTGTAGTCACTGTGTGAATCCATCTTGTTGAGGCTCTTCCTCTCTTTCAGTATCTTTCCTGCATGATATCTGTTTCCATAAACTTTCCCCTCCTGACAACATGCTCCCAGTATATAAGATCCAAAGCACAACATCACTGATCAAAGCAGCATGCTGATTGCATTTTCTTCAAGAAAGTAGTGTTTGTTATTTTGGCAGTCAATGGGAGAGGGTTAAACCAGGCTGTTCCTTGGAGGCAAGGATTCTGGGGCTCTGTCTGACATACTTTGGACATGTTGCCAGGAGGGACAGGTCCTTGGAGAGGGACATCATGCTTGGGAGGGTGGAGGGACACCGCAAGAGGGGAAGACCCTCTATGAGGTGGATTGATTCAGTGACTGAGGTAATTGGGATGGGTGTGGCAGTGGCAGTATGACTGGCACAGGATAGAGCAGGGTTTAGGGCTGTTGTACATAGGGTTGCTATGAGTCGCAAGGGACTCAAAAGCACATAACAACAACAACATGGGATATTCAGCACTCCTCAGCACCATAATTCAAAGGCATGGAGTCAACAACAACTATAGTAAAACTGCCTTATTAACATAACAATATAATCCCAAGAGTCCCAAGTATATTTACCATACTCCAAAGAGAAGATACACCATAATGTAGAAATACATCATTAATATAACATGTGAGTAAAAATTGGCTGAAGATTATTAGGAAAATGATTGGAACTACCAGAAATTATAGGTAGATTCAGAAGAAACCATGGAGAGGGTGACATCACTGCTCATGTCAGGTAAATCTTAACAAAAAGAAGAGAATAAAAAAAGAAAATATTTACTTGTGCTTTCTTTATTATACATACCCATTTGACTGTATGGATCATGACAAATTATGCCTAACACTAGGAAGAAAGAGAATCCCTGAATTGTGCTCATGTGAAACCTCTGTCTAAACTAAGAAGCTGTTGTCCAATCAGAACAAGGGAACACTGTATGGCTGGAAGTCAGGAAAGGCGAACATCAGAATTGTTTTCTCGCCCCCACCCCCATCATTTCAATCTGTATGCTGTGAACATACTTTCAGAAAGATTCTCACCACTGGACCAATCGGTAGCATCAGGATGCATGGCGAAAAGATTAAGATTGTTCACAGCTTCAGTTTGCTTGGCTCCACGGTCAACACTCTTGGCACCAGCAGCCAGGAAATAAAAAAACGGATTGCGATGGGAAAGTCTGTTGTTAGGGACCTCTCTAAAGTACTCAAGAGCAACTGTGTCTCTCTGGAGACTAAGGTCCGCCTGATACAGGCCATGGTTTTTGCAATCACTTGTTATGCATCAGAGAGTTGGACAATGACTAGGGAGGATAGAAGGAGAATTGACGCCTTTGAGCTATGGTGCTGGAGAAGAGCACTGAATGTACCATGGACTGCCAAGGAAACAGATTCATCCTAGAG